AGAAAATGTAGACTTAGGGGATTAGACAGTACCTCATATATTATTAGACTTGTTTATTATTATTTACTATTAGACCTTAAGTAGTGCATGTTTTATTTTGTATTATCTTACTTGACCTTATTTATGTACTCTATGTTTTATTTTGTGCTATGTTATTTTATCCTGATTAATAATATTTTAAATTAATTGTTATTATTTATTTTTCTAATATAATTAAATTGCATTTTAATTAATAAATATATTTTCTTAATTAAAATCATTTTTTTAAATGTAAAATAATTTAATTTTAATAATTTATAAATGTATCAATTTCAGGAAAAAAGGCAAAGAAGTGCAACCTTTGTTGTCGCTAAATACTTGACTATATAGCTACCATAATGTCGTCGCTTAAAATAATAGAACCATTTTTGAATTAATAAATTTTAAAAACTTTTAACGACAACTATTTGAAATATGTTGTCGCTATAAGGTCTGCTAACGTCATTTTACATTCGATATTTGTCACGGCTTGTAGCGACGACTTGTCGTTGCTAAAATTTAGCGACGGCACTATCGTCATTAAAAACTTTATAGCAATGAAGTTTTAACGACGACTTGCCACCACTAAATGGTTTTTGTGGCGACATTGGTATATTTGTCATTGCTAAAATGGCGTTTTCTTGTAGTGATTCAAGAAGGCTAGAGGTAGGGTTTTTAAACTTTGCTGTATACTCCGAAAATCTTATTTTTCTCTGATTTTTTTTGTTTGATTTGTGACTTGGTGATGACGTTTTCATATTGAGACTTTGGTATGTTGGCTAAGTTTATGAAGTTTTATTTTGTCTCCTGAAGATGAGTCAAAGTTTGCTTGCTTGTTTAAAAAAGAATCTTATTCTTTTTTATGGAATTTGTGTGTTTATCTCAAATCTTAGCTATTCATGGGTTTATCTCAAGATTTCTTCCTCGTTTTACTTAATGGTTTGGTTTCTTCCTACGGTTGGATTCTTGTAAGACAGCATAACCTTCGTCCTATTCTTATTTTGGTGAAGTTATTATGACACAAACTATGAATAGATAGTTTAATCTTCCTCTTCTAAGAAATGTTTACGTCATGTTTATAAGGTATAAGTCGTAACTATCGTTTAGTGACATACTTTTGATCTCTCCTATTGGAAAACCATAAAATAGACACTAAGCTTCGAGTTGAGGCAAGAATCACTTAAACGGATAATCGTCACCTAAGATATGCATTTTTGAAGCTATGCATAAGTGTTGAAATTTCTACAGAAAAACCAGTAGGTTTTGATCTTGTTTGACCTGTTTTTGGAGACCTTAAAGAACCTGAAACCAAGCTAGTGATAGCTCTTTGGAAGTGCTAAATGTCTACTTCGATTAATAACTAATTTTGTAATTTTCAGTGCTATGTAGAATATTTTATGGATATTCCGTAATAGTCGCCAATGCTGCATTTTTTAGGAAATTAATAAAACAAGACATAGATGCCCACTTTATGATTTTTGATTTCTGCACCTAAACTGTCATTGCTACTACTTAGAACTTGTTATTAGTGACGGTGGCAGTTAGAATCACCTCATTTGGAATTTTGTAGAATCACCTCAATTGGAGTTTTGTAATTTGAGTTGTGCGCATTGAAAGTTTCATGTAGAAACTTTTCAAAAACCGTCAAAATCAGAAAACCGGAATTTTGATTTTTTGAGAATTAATTTTAAGGGGTTTATAGATCTCATATTACGGCGTGTGATACCGCACTAGAAAAGTTGTCTACTTTTCTTTGACTCCGGTTGGTAATTTTTGGAGACATATATTATCTTATGAATTTTCCCCTATAGGTCGATGAATCTGTCCAAAATTCTTGTTTCCATGTACAAATTGGTTTCGAGTTAGAAATTATTATGTGGTTAATGATTAACGATTTAGGTCCTTAGAAGTCACCATAATACTAAACTATGACGTTCTTGATTATTTATGGGGATGAACTCGAGTATAAATCCGATAATATGTGTTTCCATATTTTGTGAGAGTGTTGCATGGTTTTTGAGTTATGCTTTGACATCACACGTCTTTTAATCTCTTGTGATCCATTATTGATTTTTAGATGAATCGAACATGTATAAGGGATTGAATTGTTGTTGGAGAAATTCAAAACACTCGCTTGGTTTTGTGTTTTCAATTTGTGGTAGGGATTCTATTACTCATCTTTTGTGAGATTTTATTTATTTCATTTGTTAACCAATGAATATTGGGCCCATCTTGTAGCATTCAGCGTAGCCAAAATGATTTGACATGATTTGGAACAACTTGACATGAAAGCGCAAGGTTAGGTGATCTAGTGGGGATACATCGTTCAGACGGAATGATAACAAAGGGTGGGCATTTACCATCCTTGGGTGTGATGCCCTAGAAGGAAAGTAAAAGGGAAGCATCAACACTCTCCGGGTGCGAATCCTAGGTTACTATAAAGTGGTCAGGTCATGTTAAGGGTCTGGGACAACGGTCCACCCTTATCCTTGGTTCGAGGACTGTTTTGGTCTACCGAGATAAATCTTCTTACTGTATCAGTGCCTTTGAGTCACCGCACCTTTAAGAGGTTCTATGTATGGAGAGTACATATTTGATTATTATATGGATGCTGACTGCTGATTTGTCATATTTACTAATCGAGTAAATATAAAAATGTTTGATTAAGCATCCTTTTAAAATGTATACACTAGGTATTGTTGACTTATTATTTATTTATGTGAAATGGAATAACTAATCATGCAATTTTAATATGGTAATTAACAAAACCTAAAGGTGAGTAATAGTTCCCTACTCGACATTATGTGCTCAACCCTTATTTTTTTCCTTATCTAGATTCTTACAATTTGGTTTACTGGGCCAGTTTGGTAGTGCTATAAACTGTGCTTAAAAAAAAAGTAGCTGTTACAAAAAATAATTGTTACAAAAAACAGATGTTACAAAAAACAGTTGAGTATTTGGTAAACTGTAATTATACACATATTGATTCTAGGGGTATTATGAGTATTATAAATGTTTCATTAATTGTACTCCAAGCGGCTTGCCGCACAATCTAAAAGTCAAAGTTGTCTTTGGGCTGCTTCCGATTTTGACTGTATATTCTTCAAAAATTCTTTAAGAATCTCATTTTATAGTTTTTACCAAACACAAATTTCAGCGTGGATGTCTAGAGAATTAATTTTAGGCTTCAAGAATCATTACCAAACATACCCAGTATCTAGTTGGTGAGTTTTTGTTTGAGTTAGCTAGTGTCGTGTTTTTGAAGCGGATTGTAAGTGGTCCATCCATTTTGTTATTTTATTGGCTTTTCTAATTTATTTATTTATTCATTTCTAACTCAACCTAAAAGTGTGCTTGTGTCCATGGAGGTTATAGTAATGCCACTACCCTAGTTTAACCATAGAACCTTGTATTTTTATTATTTTTAAATTGTTCATTTATTTGAGGTGCGCAATGATATTTAAAATTTTTATTTTGGAATTTTCATTATTTTGATAATATTGTTTTTATTTCTAAATTTTGAATTTGCTTAAAAGTTAAGTGTAACCCCACTTAGGGGCGTTGCAACTAAAGTATTAAAAAAAAAATACAGCCGTTTCCTTAATTTTATAAAACTTTGACCATTTATTAAAAGAACTTAAAAGCGATCATTTACCTCTGCATCTCAAAAAATAATAATGCAAGATCAAATAAATGGAAACACCAATTAGTTGAGAATTATAAATGGAAACCGCCTACGAGATTTTATTGGAAACAAAACGTATCAGGAATTTTCGAGTTTCAAGTTTGTAGGTAATATTTAATTGAAAATTTTCAATTTACAATAGTATCTACTGGTGGTATATATTAGACACATATATTTATAATACACATATATTTATAATACACATATATTTATAATATATAGATGTATGAACTTCTACAATTAAAATGCGTGTAAATTGTAAGGTCATGAAGGCACCTTACTACCTAAGTCACCTAACCCTTGAAGGTATTGTATTAGTTACGTGATTGATTTGCGGCTAACGGTTTGAGAAAATAAGTCAATGTGTCATAAAAATTGTTGATTTACATTTATGCTATTTTTGTTTATTAAAAAAACTATTCTAGTAGAATATCATTAATATTTTTATATTCCACCGAAATACTCATTAAAAATATTTGACCATCTTTGTCGAGTAGAAAAAATAATATCTTATTACGTTCATAAATATAAGGATGGTATTTTTTTTAATAGCATTATATATATATATATATATACACACACACACACAAACCTCTTATTAAGCTATCATATTTCGTCTATCATTTAGAGAATATTGTGTAGTGTGCAATCAAAATCTGACAATTTTCATTTATATTATCTTTATTAAAAAAGTATTTGGATAAAATATGTAGTATATTGTGTCCAAAATATTCTCCATAGATATGTGGCTATTTTTATCCGGAATAAAAAATAACCTAGTAGGATATTATAAATATTCTATCAAGATATATTTTTTTTGTTAAATAAATATTCTATCTTAAATATTCTATCTTGATAAATATTCTATCAAGATATAACCTGGTTGAAAATCACACTAATTACATGCAGGAAACTTTTAAGGAAAGGTAGTAGGAAAACTCACTTCTTTAATGATTTGATATGGAGTTTTGTTCCATCTAGTTTGATTCTCTCTCTTTTTTCAGAAAGGAGTTAATGCAAAAGAGAGAGAAAGGAAAAGATGGATAGAGGGGGAAAAAAAAAAAAAAAGAAGAATAAGAATAAGAAAACAACAACCACAACTCTCCTAACGATTACGCTATCCAAGATCTTTTGTTTTTACTAAAAAATCTTCAATCAAACAAAAATCCCTATCCGATTACTCTTTCCAACGTACGTCTCTTTTTTTTTCACTTATTTAAAATATGCAAGGAAAACAAAATCTCCAAATATATAGGACAACTAAAAAACTCTATCTGATTATTCCATCCATAATCACTTCCTTTCACTCATTTTTCTTTTAAAAAATATATATCTCCATCTGCCCCCTCTTTATTATCAGTACCGATCTCCTTTGGCTGTCACAACTTTCTAGCTATGGAGCTTTTCTCAGTCTTATCCTTCATCTTCCTTCTGATCTTTCTCTACCACTACTTCTACTCTTCTGGTAACAATACTGGATTCAAAAACTACCCCATTGTAGGAACCCTACCAGAAATCATTAAAAATAGTCACAGATTCTTGGACTGGGAAGCCGAAGTCCTGGCCAACTGTCCCACAAACACCGCCGTCCTCCACCTTCCCGGAAAAACCAGAGTCATAACGGCGAATCCCTTAAATGTGGATTACATTCTGAGGACCAACTTCGAGAACTACTCTAAAGGCGAGGAGTATCTATTCCTGCTCGAGGACTTCCTCGGCCGAGGAATCTTCAACTCCGACGGCAAGCTATGGAAAGTCCAGCGGAAGTTGGCGAGCTACGAGTTCAACTCCAAGTCCCTGAAAAACTTCTTCATGGAAAAGGTCGTTATGGAGATCAAGACAAGATTGCTCCCACTTCTTGAAAAAGCGGCTGAAAAGGGTCTTGTTTTGGATATGCAGAACGTGGTGGAGAAATTCTCATTTGATAATATTTGCGAGCTTGCTTTTAGCTTCGACCCGGGTTGTCTCGGCGCTGATGGAAGCTCCCACCCCGGCGTCGAGTTCATGAAGGCTTTTCAGGATGCAGGCGAGCTTATCGCCAGTAGATACCGGTACTTCAATCCTTCTATATGGAAGTTAAAAAGGTTCTTCAACATAGGATCGGAGAGAAGCCTACGAGAATCAATCTCCACCGTCGACAAATTTATATATGATATTATCCGACCGAGAATTGATCAAGCCAATGAAGAAGACAACAAAGAAAAAGCTGATTTACTTTCTCGATATATTGAGAGCAATATCGAGAACGGGTCGCCGGAGTTTCTCCGAGATGTCATGATTAATACCATTGAGGCGGGACAAGGTTCGACGGGATCGGCTTTGTCCTGGTTCTTTTGGGTCTTATCATCCAGAAAGGACACTCAGGAGAAGATCCTGAACGAGCTCAAAACAATTCGGGCTCGAAACGGGACAGATATTGGCGAAACGTTCAGCTACGAGGAGCTCAGAGACATGCAGTATTTGCATGCAGCTTTTTTGGAGTCGATGAGGCTTTACTCGCCGCTTCCTGTCAACACGAGGAAGTGTGAAAACGACGACGTAATGCCCGACGGAACCTTTGTAAAGAAGGGTTGGTTCGTGTCGTATGATAACTACGCCATGGCAAGGCTGGAGAGGATTTGGGGGAAGAATTGTGCAGAGTATTACCCGGAGAGATGGCTTGATGAGGATGGAGTTTGTCGACAAGAAAGCCCGTGTCGGTACGTGGTCTTTCATGCCGGACCAAGAATTTGTCCGGGAAAAGAGATGGCTTATATTCAGATGAAGGCTGTTGCAGCTTCGATTATTGAGAGGTTTGAGATCAGCAAACTACAGGATAAGGAGAAGCTTAGTGGAGGGCACTTAATGTCGTTGTCCTTTAGAATACAAGGTGGTGTGCCCGTCACAGTTAGGAAAAGATTATGGGGTGAGGAAATTTTAGAATAAATTGTTATTACTATTTTTTTGTTCTAATATGGTTTTAGCTCTTGTAATAAGTGGGAGGCATATGCTGTTCACACTGTGTCGAAAAAAATAATATTGTATCGGATCTTAAATAATTGCTTTAGTTATAAATGCAAGTTTTCTTCTTTTTTTTTTTTTTTTTAAGAAAATGTCAAATTTTGACCGATTTCAATTCCAACTTTGCAATTAAGCCTCTTGTCATATCTTTTAATTGCACAAATGAGAAAATTAATTATTTTGGAAAGGAAACTAAAATAAAAATTACTAAAACTACACTAAATAAGCTCAAGTAAAAAAAAATAATTCTAATCTAATAATAATGTAAATTAAAATAAAACTAAATCAGATGAAATCAAAACAAGTGAAATCAAAATGAAATTAAAATTAAAAGTAAATTAATTGAAATTCAAAATAAATCTAAAAAACTAGCCACTTTAAATGCATAAAAATAGTGAAATAACTATATTTTTAATAGAGTTATCAATATGTGCTATAAGCAAGCAAATGGGAAGCAAAAATTATTACTCAAAATGAAAAATTAATTCAAGTATATATGCGCCATAAAATATATGCACAAAATGATGCAAGAAATTAATATATACAGTAGGTGAAGTGTGTTTCATAAGTTTGAAACACAGTAAAAATCTTTTTGTTACAGTTTTTCGCTCATAAAAAATTTGAATTTCGGTTCAAATTTTGTATTATCTATTCGCCTTTCTTTCTTAGTGTTCATGAAGTTATAAAACATATAATGAAACTCATGTAATTTGTTGTATTTTCTTCCTTTTTCTACTATTGAATTTCTGGTTAGATTATCTTTGATACAAAAGCTAATATCAGTTGTATATTTAACATCAAAGAGCATAATAAGATATTATTTTTTTTTAAAAAAATATGTTATTCACTACTAAAATATAGAAATTTAACGACAAATAGACGAGGATTTGTAAAAAAACCGTCGTCTATGATGAAGATAAAACGCGCCATATAATTTTTATTTTTTGTGGTAATTTTTTTATTGAGTTAACCGTCGTTAAACCACATCTAATTGTTAATATTTTACACGGATAAATTTCTCTCAATCCTACTCTGCTCTCTCTCTCTCTCCCTCTCTCTCGCTTTATCTGTTGTTGACCTCTGCTTCCAATCTCGATGCCGGGGCCAAGCTCTCCGTTCGCAAGCCCTACACTTCCCATCTTCCGGCCCCAACTTCGGCGATGGTTTGTATGCTCTTTCCATATTCGGCAATGGTCTGTTCCTTTTCTCATTTTCATTTTCTCCTCCATCTTTCCTTCTGTAAACTCTCATTTTCTCTCTCCCTCACAACAAAATCTTCTTCTACTCAAGCTCTAATATAAGTTTTGTCTCAGATTGATCGGACTCTCTCAAATTGTTGTCCTGCTCTAAAGGTTTTTTTTTAGGGTTTACTTCATCAACGAGAATTCGCCCCCTCCTTCTCCAAACCAACTATGGTATGGCCATTAATATGGCGATTTAAGTGCTTAGCTTGTTCTTGTAGTGTGTTTCTGATAATTTTTTGTATTATTGATGGTTGGGTCTCGAATTTGTTCATTTTGGGTCTCTGAAAAACTTTGCTTCTATCTTGCGGTTCTGTTATGCTTTATTGATGACATGAAATTCCCATGTATTTACTTTTTGAATTTGATTGAAAACACAAAGAAAAGAAGTTCTCTTTCCATGAAATTATTATATTTTTCAATATTAGTTTTTGCATTTTGCTTGATGATATATCTCACATTCACTATCAAGTGTGCGTGCGTGTGTGTGTGTGTGTGTGTGTATTGTACACTTTTTTTTTTCCTTTACACGCTATAGTTTCATTATGTTTTGATATCTCTTGTGTGACCAAGTAATGACTTTTTGAGCTTTGGAAATGACTCAAATGCACTTTCTCATATCTTGCAACTGACATGTTATTTTAATTATTTCAGTGGTCAATATGCTCCACAAACATTGATTGCATATGATGCTTGTATACGGTTATGCCTCCCAGCATGGGAGAGAGGCTGCGCTGAGGCACCTGAATTTCAACCGGTAAGTTTATGATTATTTTTATATTTAAATTATTTAGAATTTAGTATATTTTTACCCTTTATATGTGGATGTGTCAAATGATTTATGTGTTGGTCAATCTCGTGTTGTTTTTGCTATATGTTCTGTTTTGTGTAGTTAGTTTTGTTGAGGTTTTTTTGAGGTTTATAGATCAATGCAGTATATTTTTATAAGGTTTTATAGATAAATGCATTTCTCCTCTTTGTTGAGGTTTTTAGTTCATTTGATTATAGTTGTTGGGTTGTGTGGTTAGAGAAGTCACAGTCTTGTTGTTACCTTGTAGACACCTCTGTTTGTGTAAGGATTGTGAAGGTTTTATAGATGTGCAGCGTAATAAAGTCTGAAAGTGTTCAAGTGTACATGTTTGGAGGACAGTTTTCTTGTGTTTAATGTGTTTTCTTTGTGTTTCAAGTGTACATGAATAACCACTGAGATTTGGAAATTCCCATCTCATGTGTTTTAATTGCGTGCTAAGTATAAAAACTTTTGTCCTTTGGGTTAACCAATTAAAAAAGGCATTCCTATTTTTGATGAATCGGAGAATATAAGGTTTGACCACTTTTTTAGGAATCTGTTATATATAGATATTATTAGTTTTGTTAGAGTATGGTTACCTAAATTCTATTTAGTTAGCCTGAAAAGTTCACGGTGCGACATTTTTTGATTGAGTTTTAATTATGAAATTTTTGGGAGATCTGTGGTGGTAGCACAAAAATATGAGTTTAACTTGTGAAATTATTCTCACATATATATATATATGTCTGTGTGTTGATATATATGTTGCAATGTTATATTAATATTCTTCTTATTGACTATTATAAAGTTTGAATATGATGCATTCAATAAAGTAAAAATATTTTAAAAAAAAATACTATAGACGACGGTTTTTCTAAAACCCGTCTTCTAAAGTCAGTTATTAGACGAAGTTTTTAAACCGTTGTTAAATGTTACAGACATTTAATGACTCCCGAACAGGCGATAATTTGGTCTTTTAACGCGGTTTTAAATCGTCATTAAATTGTGTTTTTTTGCTAGTGACACTAGCTGATTTCTCCAAAAATTGTGGGGTAAATTTGGTGATTTGATATTTGTCTAGTTCCCTTCTATAAAGTATTGGACTTACGATTCACATGGTTTTGTCACGACCTCAAGGATAGGGCCGTGATTATTGGGGTTTAATTTAAAATTTAACTTAATTAAACTGGACTGTTTAATAAAATTACAAAAATAAATACATAAATATGAATATAATTTGCTCCGGAGACTTTCTTTCACAAATAATATTTAAAACAATTCATAAAATCCAAGGAAAATAGTACAACTCTGGGACAATGTCGACCAATACAATTTACATATAGAAATACAGTACATCTTAGAATTTAGAACTGTAAATCCGAAACAAACGTACCGCTTTGAATCTCACACCTTCAATCCATTGGCATCTACTTATCAGTTGTAAATTTAAACCGCTAACTTTGGAGGAGGGGTTTAAAACATTAAAAACATAATAAAAGTGAGTGTAAGGCCCAGTAGGATATAATTTATAAAACTGAATAAATAAATAAGTGAATAAAATGAGAGAAATAGCAGGAAATAGGCCAATACGAAAAGCTTAAGAAAGTATATAGGCCAATTTTTAGTTATAGAAATTAATAGGCCATAACTTGTTAAGTTATGGTTCATAACCAGATAAGTTATGGACAAACTTATCAAGTTATGGTTCATAGCCAGACAAGTTATGGACAAAAACCGGGAATAACTTGTCAAGTTATGATTCATAACCCGACAAGTTATGGACGAAAATAATAATTTTGCCTATTTATTAACTTATGTAAACTATTGGTCTATTAATTTTAATTTATCTTAAGTCTTGGCCTATTTTTCTCTTTCTCTCATAAAATGAGAGAGTCAGGCCCGAAATAATCAATTGGAACCAATAACCTTTTTTTGAAAGGTAAATAAACTAAAATTTCATATTTCAGGTACCAGTAAGTAATTTAAGTAATTAAATTACTTACGACCAAAGCAAGGCCTTATCACCACTGTAGTGGCCCGTCCGGGTTTCGAGTTCCGCCCCCAAGGATACGATCTTCATATCCTATCTAGGCTATTAGCGAGCTTACCAATTCGCAAGATCTCTTATCTTAAGAAATCATTCATTAAACTTTTTGAAATAGTTCATTATAATTCCAATAGCTAAAATCAAGCTATGGTATCAACAGGTTTTTCTTTCGCAAACATGTCCTTTCTCTAAAACATTTGCAATGCCAAAACTCTTTGAAAACAGGCTAACAAAGAAAGACATCAGGAATATCCTACCTCTCGGATGTCAAGCCTGTAGCTAACTTCTCGTCACCCTAACCTCCACTTTCCTTAAAGTTTTAATACTCAATCTTCTCCACTAGCTTTATGACAAAAATAGTGTCTTAGGAAGTATTTCTCATTTCTAAAACGAATTAAGCTCAATCATGTTTAATTGTTTCCTATTAGTGTGCCTTAACTCGAATCCAAATTTCACAAATGATTTTATAATTAGTTTGGGGGTTCTTTAAAGATTCAAATCCAATTTATGGGTTTGGTTTCTTATTTAATTTCAGCTTAAAAATAACTTCTTAAAGAAATTTTGGCAGCATGCCGGCATAAATAGAAAAAATGCCAAACCTGCAATTCAAGTTCAATTTCAAAATAAATTCTCTAGAATCTATCAAAATCAGTTTCCAATCACTTCAATATTTCTAATAACTAAAAACCCCTAAATTTCATTCAATTCTAACAACAATTATTCAAATCCAAACCCTAACTCAAAATTATTCAAATCTAACCAAAATCAAACTTTTTCAAGTTTAAAATTCAAATTAAAGAGTGGGTTTCAATAGGTTTTACCTCAAATTAGTTGATAATGCCGTTCTCTCTCTTTCTTTTTTTTTTTTGTCTTTCCTGCTTCGGTAGGAACAAACCGGAGAGAGAGAGGTGAGAGAAAAAGAGAGAGCAAGGGAGAGAGAAAGAACGCCGGTGAGAGAGAGATGGCCGGCTAGAGCAAGGGGAGTGGTGGCCGGCGGTGAAGGAAGAAAGAGAGAGAGGGAGTTGCCGTGGAAGAAGAAAGGAAAGAAGGAAAAGAAAGAAAGAAAGGAAGAGAGAGAGATTGGGGTTGGTCTGGCAGCCACAGGAAGGAAGGGAAGGGAAAAAGAAAAAGAAAAGAAAGAAAAGAAAAAAAAAAGGAAAAAGAAAAGAAAATTAAAGAAAATACATAAAATTAAGTGTATTTTCAAAAAATTTTGGGGTGAAAATTGAAAAACTGAAAGTAATTTATAAGTCCTTAAAATAACTCAAAAACTTAATCTTTAATCACAAGATTAATTAGAAAAAAATCAATTTTAGGCACACTAATATACACAATTAACATAATTAAACATGTTTAATTATGGAGTATGTTACAGGTTTCTCTTTTTTTTTTTAATCTTGATGGGAGGTAGTGGTTACAGTTAAAATGATGAAAGTGGAGATTGTTCATGAATTATTTTGTCTTTATGTAATTCTTAACCCTTTGATTTATGCACGGTATACTCTTTATCGTTCAAAACCTTTTTGACTTTATGGAGATCATAATATATTTAAACTAATGAAATTTCTCCATCCTTTTCCTATCGTTTAAATTTGTCCATCTATATAAATATATATATATATATATATATGTATGTATTTATTAAACTTCAATCTTAGCCTTAAGATCAATACGTACTTTTTACTTATGTCATGTGCTTGGCAAGATCAAATGTACTATATCTAACACTAATGCTACACGGCATTATGAGTTATTGTTGCTCTTGAATTTCTTCTAAAATTTAATTACAAAAATTCATTAAACTCTTGTACTGAGATACATCTTAACGGAAATTGTAATTTTAATAAAACATAACCTTTTAACTGAAATACATCACAAAATATTTGTCATACAATAACATAATAATAGAACATGCATGATTTTTTATGCTCTGTTATGGTATATAATTTTATTTTTGTGGGCCCTGCGTTCCTACTGGGTGCGCAGGACCAAGGGAAGTCAGGGGAGCTACTTAAACATTTAGTTCGAGAACCATGGACCTGATTAATTTTTGTGTGGCACGGCACTTATCTTATCTCTTGCTATCTTAGCCTCTTAGTAAGTGAACATGGAATTAATATCATCATCACTCATATAGATAATAGAGAATTAATGCATTACAAGCAAAAAATATCTCAAGCATATCTATTAAAACTTATTCATACTATAAGTGAGGTTTGTACTAACCATGTGCTAGTGTTCATCGTTTATCCACAGCAAAACACTCATGTAAAGTTGTTCATTCTGAGTTCAAACAGTACTGATAATTAACTGTCAGTTTGATAACGAAGCTTCAACTTAACTTACTTAGATATTTAACATTCATTTGAATCAATTGATTAAACTAATTATTTCTTTCTTAACTAAATTCACACGTATGGATTAAACAACGAATATTAATTGATTAGTTAATTTCCCTTTAAATTTTATTAACCACTTTAGGTTAATTATTTGTTGATAACTGTTAATTTATTTCTTACCTTAGTTTATTAATTAAATTAATTAATTAACTAATGAGTTATCCGAAAAGTCCTACTAATTTATTTAAGGACCTAAAAAATTAATTAAGTTAATTTCTCATAAATATACACCTAAATTACCAGTAAGTTACCTTCTAAATCCAGTTAGATGCTAAATCTAACATTTCTAAGTATGGGATTTAGGCCTTAAAGTTTGGGTTTTAATTTAGTAATCTAGTTGGTTTCCGTTACGGTCAATTTATGGGTTACTTGTTCATTATCTAGGAGCTTGGCCCTATTTATATCTCTTAACATAATTTTAATTTTTTAAATGGTGATCTCAGGTCTTATAAATGTTTTTAGACCAATTTGGGTTTTCTAACTTCGATTGACGATTTTACCCTTAGGAAAAATTACCGTTTTACCCCTAGCGGGTTTTGATGATTCTAAGGTCATAAACATGAGATATTTATCGCATTTGACATTCTGTTCTCAAGGACCTTGAGTTAAATCTCGGAGCTTGGTGTCCGTTTGACCATTTTAACCTTAATGGTCAAAAATGACTATTTTTTCCCTTAACGTCTTTCTAGGTGACCTAAGGGTTCTAAGTTTAACTTTCTAAGGCTTAGTTTGGTAGTGCTGTGGATTTTAAAAAAAGTGCTTTTAGCTGTGCTGAAAGAAGAAGCAGCTGTTCTAAGAAGCAGCTGGGTGTTTGGTAAATTGTAATTATAGTAGCTATGCTGGTTCTAAAATCAATATAATAGCGTTTGGTAAATTTTGAGGTGGAATTGCTGTGGGTATGTAAAATGACCAAAATAGACATGATATGAAACTCAAATATATATAATTATTTTTTTTATTTAAAAATACTTGTTTAACTTTAAAAACACATAATGTTATGATTTTAAATTTTTTAACAATCAATTTATGATAATTAATTCTCTTTTTTTTTTTCATTTCTTCATTCACAATATAATTACAACTAAAAGAAGCATTAGTGACAATTACTCAGGGACAATTGTAGTCTTCGAGTTGTGGAATTGTTTTGTACTCTCTCTCTTGCAAAGTTTAGCAGAGACAGCTGCAGTCTTGATAACGCAACCAAATACCATAATTATCAATTTTGGTGGGGTTCTTCTCAAAAATTTGTAAGAAAATATGATAAATTTGTTAAGAAATTTCATGCTAAGAAACGAGCTAAACCAAATGATAATTAATTATAGGACCACAAATAAAGAACATTTCAAACATATTCATATCCATACACACATTTACGTAAATGAGCAAATTCACACATTGATGGGTGAGGCCCTCGGATCGGGCTAGGTGGAGCCGCCTAGCTTCGATTAGGTTATCATTTCCTAATCAAAATACCATTGGTACAATAGGATTATTAATGAAGCATGCTAGAGTGAAGCTATGCCATTTATTTATTTACTTGCATTGGATTGTTTAAGTAAAAAGAAATAAAGATATGAAGTATTGTTTTATGGCACATTTTGCTTATTTTTTTTACGTGCTTATTTTTTTGATAATAAAAACTTTATTGATAAAATTCAATAATAAGGTTAGAGGACAAATGTATCCTCAAACCAAAAAGAAACAAAAATGGCCAGGTGTGAAAAACTGACTACCATACAAAAAGAGCAAGATAAACACATAAACGGTATCTCCAATCAATTCCCTATTACATCTTTCCAATTCAAAATGACCAAAGTAAACGGGAACCCCTGAAGCAGCCCATGGCAATGCATAGAACTTTGCCTTCTCAAAAATATCAATTGGCCCCATCACCTTTTCCTAAAAAATTATGCCATTCCGTTCCATCCACAGAGACCATAACAATGAGAGCACCATACTATTCCATAGGACTCTGGCCTTCTTATTAGTTCTTTCAATTCTGGATCAGAAGAATCAAACAAAACACGTAAACAAATGTATATTGTTAGCAACCTGGTATAATTATTTGAAGGCATGGAATTTTTTTTGGAATATGTTTATATTTTTGGCAAAGAAAGGAAACAATGATGGGGATACATCCTTGCAGCAACAGCTTTTCTGATTGCCCAACCATGATGGGGAGCAAATACCTGTGCATACGCCTTGGAAGCTGGATCTTTAAGGGAATTGCCCCTGCCACATGAGCATTGGTACCTGTTATTCCATGCATAACTAGGCATGCACCTTAAGCACAATATATAAGCGCCTACTTTGAAGCTTAAACTGGAATCTCATTGCTAGTTCAGCAAATAGTCCACCTAGGCAGATATATTCAAAGCCAATGCATTCGGCAAATAGTTTGTGGAAGAGGGCTATTAGCTCTCTTTGCTCATAGGAATCAACTAAGAACCAGCTACATATTCCAAATCAAAAATTAGGTGACTCTTGAGCTTTATTTTCTCCATTTTATTACAGTGGTGGAAAATAAATCAGAAACATTCAAATTAGTTCAAAATAAATCACTTACTAAAATTAAAACCACAGTTGAGTTTCTGCAACTACCCTAAAAAAGTATATGAAGTCTACTTCAAATACCAAATACATGTAATATTACTCATCTTATACAACAACCATGTTACACGTAAGGGGTAAGACAAAACCGAAAGCTAATACCATTACTGAATTCCTTGTGCCAATTTGATCAAATTTCTTACATCGGGCAAATTATACCGAAACGCAAAGAAAGTAAGGGCCAATTAGTTTCTACCATCCCAAATTGTAAAAACAATGATTATTCACTTCAAAACTTTCAGCTCAACAATTTGGCGTATTTTCTCTCCACATTCTAATCATCATTCTAGCTGTTAAGAGTTCAATGAATGTCTTCAAATTCAACTCAACCAAAGAAAACAACCTTGGAAGCCAATACCCAATTGTGCCAAACCACATATTACTTGAATCGACTACGTAAATTGTGGAAAATTAATTTTCCAAGAAACTCAAATTGACTACAATGTACTTCATGTGCTGAATCTACAAATTAACGAAGTAAAGCAAAGAACAAAAGGAGAAAAAAAAATTGCGGATAAAGGATAATACATACTCTGCAATGAGTATTTGCTCGAAGAGCACCCAAACCATGTCAAGCTCACGCTTCACTCTCAACAAATTTCTCGAATGACTACCAGCATTCCTTACGCAATTCGATGCCATATCGCGATCGAGTAAAGCCTGTAAGGTCGCAATAGACTTCGACGCCTCCGAGAGATCGTTCACCTGAGATCATTCCGATTTTGGTCAAAGTTAAGCAAACGAATTTTTTTCTTCAATCGGATTATTCACTGATTTTCCCAGGAAAATGCAATAGGCGGTGGGGGAAAAAAAGTACCTTGGAGACAAATCAGAAGCAAATTTCGAATGGAGTACTTACAGCAAAAACGTGCTTAAGAGGGCTGAGGTTGACTGGCGAAACTCGGGAGAGGAGACCGGAAGAACAGGGAGACCAGCGAACAACCACTCGTGCGGAGGAGATCGGAATGGAGCGCAGACAACGGGACCAGCGAACGGTGAACGGAGAACGGAGCGTAGACTGGCGAGAGAGAGGAGCGAGAAAGGAGAGAGAAAGGAGCGAGAAAGGAGAGAGAGAGAGAGAGAACGGGGAGTGATGGAGCTTGCAAGAGGTTTTCAGTCACGAGAGAGAGAACGGGGAGTGATGGAGATGAGATGGGTAGATGGGGATTATTTCATTTCAACATGGGTAAAATGGGAATAAAATTTTTTCATTAATGTGAATGGAGGGGATTCCCACATAAGTTAGAATCCAAATCCAAAGCACCCTCAATGCTTAAAATTATTGAAGAATCACTTATTTTACTTCTTACCAAACACCAAAAATGACTTAAGCTGGACAAAAAAGTGCTTTTAAGGGTCTAGAAGTTATACCAAACGAAGCCTAAGTCCCTTACTGCCTTAATAAGCCTCTGGACTTTTCTAAATAGATTGACTCTAAATTTTTGAGAAATTAGATTTTGACCCTATGGACTGTAATTTTGACCTTTTTACCCCTCAGAGTTGATCTAATCTTTTCTTAGCTAATAGGCTCACCTCAGTAAGAAGAACAAAATTCTTCACTGGACCTAAGGTTAATTCTAACCATACGAACCATTTGTTTATATATATATATATATATATATATAAAACTAAATCCTCATACAGAGTCTAAAATGTTGACGCCCACTCAAAATAATCATTGGCCACCATATAAATTTATAAGTTCACATTTCCACAATTTACTTACCGGTTCAACCATCAAATGTAAAACTAGTGTTCCCAATTCATATGACGTCCAAATGGTCTCAAATTTTGATATTGAGTTCCTAACATATCCTATTTCTTCCCATTAAAACAGTTTTATAAACTAAGTTCTCTAACTCTTAAAGTTTAGGCTTTATTCTCGGATGGCTCTATGAAACTAGTGATTCAGAATGCTTACTTTAAAATTTCATAACTAACTGTAAAAATAACATTTTCAGGCATATGATACCGTGTTAGAAAGCTCAAGATGTCAAGTTTATATCACCAAGATTTCATATCCATATTGCAAATTTAGCTTAACCAAAAATGGACTTATTTCTTGCTGGTCACACTGAATATACTTATTGTGATAAAAAATTAAACCTAACATATCTTAGCCTTAACAACACCAAATCAAGTGATTCTAATAACTATTTTATAGTTCATTTCCTATATTATCATTCCATCCTCAAGATTTATTATTTGAATATCTCATTCTCACACCATATCCACGTTTTCTCTGAGGTATCCATAACTAACCTAATTGAAATTTTAACATGCATGGTTGGGTTCTAAAGTTTATGAAAAGAACTTTTTGCCTTAATGCTAGCCTTCCTTAGCCTCAAACCACGTCCTTGAGCTTCTATAAAGTGGTCTAGAACTCAAGCTCGTAAAAAAAAAAAAAAACTTATCTTAGAATCATTCCAAACTAGTACACAACATAAGCTATACTGTGAGGAAATGGTTTCTCCTTACCTATTTAACCTCTGGCCAACTTGTTCCCTCTTCATCTTGCTCTTAAAGTAAAGTTATTAGACTCTAGTTGAGGAAGTTTTAGAAGGAATGAAAGAGGGTGCCGGCAGATTTGGGAGAAAAGAAAAGATTTTGCTTCTTAAAACTTTGGAGAGGCTAATGTGAGGTGTACAATTTGTTCTATCATTAACGATTAGTATGAAATCCTCCCTGGTGCAATAATTTAAATAAAATTGTTGTTGTTTAACCATTAGAGAATCCAGTCAAAAGAGAGGAAACGTGAAAGGCACTCATCCAAAAAAAACAAATCTTACTTTTGTAAGAAATCTTTCTCACTCTGTGAATAATGCAGAGTTTGTTCTAATGTTTTGACTAATCCTTTACCTTTCCTCCAACATGCATTTAATCACCTCTATCATTATTATCCCCCACACTATTATCTTTTTTATTGTCGACAATCATATCATTTCGCTCATATATTATACATGTATTTTTGTACCCACACATATAAAAGTTGGTCTACAACTTTTTTTTTAAACTAATCTCACTAGCTTCTTCTTATTAATACATTATGTCTATATACTATGAAAAGTTTTGAAACCAAAGTCAATGGGAAAATCGTGGGATAATGGAGAGTAGGGATGCACTAGTCAAATTTCTTTTTTTTTTTTTTTTTTGGTGCAAGTTTTTGTCCATACTAGCTGATTTCTCCAACACTTGTGGGGTAACTTTGGTGATTTGATATTTGTCTAGTTCCCTTCCGTAAAGTATAGGACTTTGGATTCGCATGGTTTCTCTTTTTCTTTTTTTTTTTTAATCTTGATGGGAGGTAGTGGTTACAGCCAATGTTGGAAGTTCGGGTCGGCGGGCTGCCCGAAGCCCGAATTTTTTCGAGCTCGGGCGGGCAAGCCCATTTCCCGCCCGCCCAAGGTAGATTTTCGGGTTCGGGCTCAGGCAGCCCGAATTTTGCATTGACTCTTTTGCCCGCCACCGTCTAATCGCCATTTACTGCCGTCCGCCGGAATTTTTTTGAATTTTTCCGACCATGCCCGACTCGAAAATTGCCCAAAAATCTGTGCTCGAAATGCCTGAAAAATGCCCGAACCCGCCTGCCCGAATGCACATAACGGCTACTTTTTTTGAATTGTTCCCAAATTATACCCGAAAACCCGAGGTGCACGAACTGCCCGAGGTGCCCGACTACCTGAATTACCCAAAAACGGCTAGTTTTTTGAATTTTTACCCGAATTCTGCTCGAAAACCCGACTTGCCCGAGGTGCCCGAATTACCCGAAACAGCTAGTTTTTTGAATTTTGCCCGAATTCTGCCTGAAAACCTGAATTGCCCCGAAACTGCCCGACTACTCGAATTTCAAAAAATAGCTGTTTATCCTGATTTTTTTTGAAAAAAAAAATCATTTTTTAACCCCAAAATTTCCTTATAAATACCCTCCATCCCCCACACATTTTTCTCACTCAAACTCTCTCAATCCCTCTCAATTTCTCTCAATCTCTCTCAATCTCTCTCACAATTTTTCTAAAAACTATCACATTATCTTAAAGCTCTCTCTCTCTCTCAAATCCATCTTATCTTTTTTATAATGGATCTTTTTAGTTATAGTGGTATTCCCGTTGATGCCTAACACAATGTAGAAGAAGGGTAATTTCCCACTAATGAGTTTGTTACGAAGGAATCTACTAATCCGAGTCATTGTGGACGTACTGAAGGTCGTGGTCGCAATAATGGTGGTGGGCGTGGAGAAGCGGTGAGTGCGACTGCGTCTGCATCTGTGTCGGTAAGTGTTGCAACTTACAGGAGGAAATACAAGCGTACCTCGACAGTTTGGGATCACTTCGACATAATTGACGAGGTGGATAATGAAGGTAACACTAAACATATAGCTTAGTGTAAATATTATTTATCTAAATTACAATGTGACACTATTCACAGCACCACACACTTGAGACAACACTCCGAAAAGTGTCTTCAAAAGCTTAGCCAATCTAGCGGATCCGAACTCCGCTAAACACAATTATCTTTTAATCGTGCAACCGGTGGTCTAACCACTTGGAAATACGATCCGTAAGTAGATCGTGTGGAAGTTGCGCGAATGATAGCTGCTTTAGATCAACCACTTAGTTTTGTAGAGCATCTTAATTGGTAACGATATATTAAGGTTGTACACAATCATAATGCACAGTTCACTTCAAAAATTACTCTTAGGAAAGATTTATTAAAATTATTTTTTTTTTAAAAAGATGCATTAATAAACCTTTTACACTCGACTAGTGGGTGCGTTGCGTTAACGGCAGATATTTGGTTTGCCGTTGCCAATAAAGATTATTTAGCTATAACCGGACATTACTTTAAAAGATTTGATTTAGATAAGAGAATATTAGGTTTTAAATGTGTTCTAGGATCACATAGCGCGGATTTAATATATAACACAATTTTAAATATAATTGATGAATTTAGATTAAGAGATAAAGTAATGGCTATAACATTAGCTAATGCTAGTGCCAATACAAAAGCAATTGAATTCTTTGAAAATGATTTAAGTCTATTCGGTGACGGTACTATTTTCCACCAACGTTGTGCATGTCATGTAATCAATTTAATAGTTAAATCCGGTTTAAAAGAAATGGGTAATCACATTAAAAGAATTAGAGATAGTCTTGCATGAATTCAAGGTAGTAACCAAATACAAGAAGATTGGTTTAGGTTTTTACAAGCATTAAATATACCTCTTAGAGCATTAGC